CAGCCGAGGGCAGCGACGTGAGCCTGTTGGCCACCAACACCTGGTGCCCCACGGACTGTGGGGAGCCTCCAGTGCTGTGAGTCAGGGCTTGGGGTCCGGGCAAGCCCCCAACAGCATCCCCCAGCCTAAGACACCTTTTCCCCTGCATGCATCCCCCAGCCCTGGGTCCCCACGCTTGCAGCAGCCCCAAGGAGCATCCCAGGGGCAAGCGGGGTGGCTAGTAGACATGCAAGTGCCCCAGTCCCCATCCTCATTGCCCAGACCCTACTCAAGCTCTAGCATCATCTCCTTTCTCCTACCCAGGTCCCAGCCCAGCGTCATCTGCCTGCTGCTCTTCCTCAGCTTGAAGGTGCCCGTGGCGCTGGCCTTGGCATGTGGGGCTGCCTGGGTGAGGAACCGGCACAGGAGCCACGACCGGGAAAACCTGCAGCTCTTCGAGGTGGCTGGCAGGACCAGGGCACAGGGCTGCCAACCCACCCCGACCACCTCAGACCCCCAGGGAACCCCTTCTGTCCCCTTGCCCCCCACCCTGCCAGCGCTGTGCCATCCCTCACGGCCACCCCATGCCAGGAGTTGCTCGGCTCCAGGTTCTTCTACCCTTGGGAAGCCTCGGCCCCTCATGGCAGCCCCTGCGCTGGCGAGGGGGGGGTTTGGGGGGCAGGGAGCCTGCATCTGCTGAGCTGGAGCTGCCAACTGAAGACAATTTTGCAATAAAGCCTGGGTATCCTGCAGGTGCCTGTCTGTCTGTCTGTCTGTCCGCCTGCTGCCTCCTTCAGCTGCCAGCACTGCTGATGTTGAGGTGTGGGGCTGTGTGGGCGGCTGTGTGGCGGGGGGGACATGGGGTTACAGGGGACCACATGGGAACCTGCTCCACCACGGCCCAGCTGAGCCATGGCATGGGGAGAGGAGCCCTCAGCCCTGCCGGCCCTGCCCGATGCCAGCAAATGCTCGTCTCCAGCTGAGCGAGAGCTGGGGAAGAGCATCCTTCCACAACTGGCTCTCCCACTTCCTACCCTCAGTCCAAGAGCAAAGCTCGCATTACAGCCAGCTGCTCCATAGGTTTCTTTCCTCCTTACTCTTGTTATTTTCCAGGTTCTGCATCTCCAAAAAGCAGGCATCTACACACTGCTGAAACCCTGCAGAAATCTTGCTCCTTACATGTGCTTGTGTCCCACGGGGTGTCCGGCACCAGGAGCCACATCAGGGAGAGCAATGCAGCCACCTCCATCCCCACAAGGGCTACGCCACGTCCCTCATTTCATGGCACATCCACCTTCACCGGCATCCCCCCAGAAAGCTTTGGAGGAGAGTTGTTTCTCTTCAGCGTTGTTTAAGGAACTGAAATGCCCGAGGTGCCAGGAGTGGGCATGAACCAGGAACTCGCAGCCCACTTCAACCTCACGTGGCAAAATCTCCGCTGCATACGCAGCAGTTTGGCTGCCCGGGAGGGAGCAGGCTGGGGACCCTGGCCATGCGTCCTGCACCTCACTCTCCCTCCTGCTCCATTGCCTGCTCCTGCTGGCTTGGTGCTGGGAGCCCACTGGGACCAGAGGGGCCAGGGCTGTGCTTCCATCCGCAGGAGTCCCAAACCCTTGTTTACTGTCTGCTCCTGGTGGGCTTGAAGGGGTCTGGTCTTCCTGGGCTTGACCACCTCCCGGGTGAACATGCGGGAGCAAGGATGTCACATCCCTGGAGTGCCCCATCCAGGGACAGCTCCTGGCATTGTCAGGTGGGGACAGGCCTGCCCCAGAGCCACCACGTGTGGAGGGGATGGAGGTGGCAGCTCCAAGGCACAGCCATGGGGAACCGCAGGGCTCCCAGGTTGTTCCCTGCAGGGGAAGAGACCCAGGAACAACTGCACAGGGATCCCTGGCAGCCCAGAGCCTGGCCCGGGTGGGTGATGCTCAGGGCAGGGACCCTCTGCCCACAGAGAGTTGCCAGGGTTCAGAGCCAGGCACAAGCCAGGGACAGGGACAGCTCAGGTGTGTCTCCAGCAAGGAACACCCTCAGAACCAACTGTTGGCAATAAAGCTGTCTCCTCACCTTCGCTAAGGCCAGGGCAGCGACGGTACCGGCAGTGGGTCCGTATGCGAGGCTTTGGTC